GCCTCGTTCCCGCGGCCGCCCCGGAAGTGACGCGCAGGCGCGCGCGGGGGCCGCAGGCGCCGGGCGACGGCGCAGCCTGCGTCGGGGGGGCGAGGCCGGGCCCCAGGGGGCGGGGCTTCAGCGCCGATGGGCGGGGTCTGACGCGGGTGGGCGGGGACCGAACTCCCTTCATTCATTCATGCATTCGGCTTTTTCCACTCATTCCAGGGACGGAAGCAAACTTTCACCTCGGAAGCAACATTTACAGGGACGACGAAATACTCATCAGGACTTTTTAAAGTTTTAATGCAATTTTTAAAAATTCTTTGTAGAGACAAAGTTTTGCTATGTTGCCCAGACTGATCTCCATCTCCCGGCCTCAAGAGATCTCCCACCTCAGCCTCCGAAAGTATGAGATTACAGCTGCTTGGAAGGCTGAGGCGGAAGAATTGCCTGAGCCCAGCAGGTCAAGGCTGGGGTGGCCGTGAGCGTGCCATTGCACTCCAGCCTGGGTGACAGAGTGAGACTCTGGCTCCAAAAAAAAAAAGAAAAGAAAAATGTAGGATGTCCCTTACATTTCATGCCTGAGGCGAGCCCTGGTCCCTGGGGACTTAGCCCACAGTGTAGGGGAGGGCTCATTACGCAATGAAGAGATCAGAGGAGAACCGATAAGAATAAAGGCAGGTTTGGGAAGCCGAGGTGAGACCATTCCTGGGCAACTTGGGGAGACCTCATCTCTACCGTAAATCATGACTGTAGTTCCAGCTATTTGGAAGGCTGAGGCGGAAGGATCGCCAGAACCCAGTAGGTCAAGGCTGCGGTGGCCATGAGCATGCCACTGCACTCCAACCTGGGTGACAGAGTGAGACTCGGACTCAAAAAAAAAAAAAAAAAAGAATAGGGGCTGGGAACACAATGGGAGAAAACTACTGAGGAATCTCTTAGAAAGCAAGGTCAAAATCAGGGCAGGCCTCTGAGAACGTGATGGTGGCAGAGGCAGAAGGCAGGCCGGCCGCAGGGGGCGTGTTAGTTGGAGTCCCTTTCCCTTCCAGGCCTGCACTCTGCTACCATGGCCCCTCCAGGGCCTTAGTGCCTGTCCCAGCTCAAAATGCCCCCTAACCCTGCAGGCAGTCTCAGCCCCCTCTCCTTTCCAGAACTCTCCTCTTT